CACTTATTTAATTCCTGTTCTCTGCCATATAAACATAATCACTAAGAACAATCAATTTGTTCCCATTTGATAAAGGCCTAAAATAAGAATAGCAGATCACACACTGCATGGAATTTGAAGACTGTGGGGGGATGTTTACTGTGATGCTACTGAAATCTCCTCTGGTTTCCAGAAGAAGAATAATTTCCATTCTTGCTTCATATGCCAGGGACTGAGGTTTGTTTATCTATTTTCTGGGTTAGATTTGGTTTTCAAATAACCTACAGGAGACATCTAACTATATCCTGGGATGGACACTGCAAATATTTGGAATTCAGGTCCTGTGGTCTGAGGACATTTTCATGAGACAACTCCAGACCCAGGGGCCAGAGTCCGCTCTCAGGGTTGCTGTTGGAACAATCAGTGGATCCAGTTTCAGGCCTATAAACAATAGGAATTGAATTGTTCATCAACGACAACATGAACATGGAAGCGGACCCCAAGCCTCAGAAGACCCCAGTGCCCACCTCTCTGCACCCATCCATACTTTGGTTCCAGTCCAAGAGTACCAGTTGACATGTGCTCAAACTTCACCTATAAAAGCTGAGAAATTAGGGACCTCCCTGGTGGCGCAGCGGGTTAAAGCACAGCACTGAGAAGCTAAAGCCACTTCCGCATGAGTTTGATCCCCACACCAGAGGTGACCCACATGGCGCGGCAGACCTCTCCTGTCTCTCCTGCTGCTCCTCTCAGCAGTGTACTTCATCCATTTGCCTGTTCTGCTCCCCACCCTCCCACCCTGGCTCTGGTGAATCCTCTCACTGGCCTGTACCCCAGTTGTGTGTGCATAAATAAACCTTTTTTAAAAATTGAGAAATGGAAAGTGCATGCTTCTAACTACTAAATTTATAGCAAGTTGTTGCACATCCATAAATTTCTGCCATTGTCAACAACCATTTTGACATGGGATCATCTGTGGCCAAGGGGGCTGGGAGAAACAGCATAAGCTGAGGCTTAACAAAGGATGCTTGCACTTCTAAATTCTTTCTTCTCCACTTGCTACCGCCACAAAAGCCATCTGTTCAGTTAATAGAGGGATGGGAAAGACCATGCTGGAGAGCTGGCTTGTCCGTCTGGCTCATCCTCGACCAACAAGCCCCAGACAACTTGCTGGCTGACCCGAGGTATCTATGGTGGCCCAGGGTAGCCCCCAATCAGATATGCTTAACACTCAGTTGACCTTCAACTTCATGAGAAATAAATGTCTGTCTTCTGAGGTCACTCTCTTTTGAAGCTGTGTTAGGCAATATTTGTGGCATTAGATCGTGGCTACACTGACCCATTGATTAAAGCTGCAGGACACATTTAAGATTAAGCACATATGTGATTGCCCATTTGCAGCTATTTTTTTAAAATGAGAACACTTAAAAGCATAAAAGGAGAAACTGGGGAACTGGTGAGAGAGAAAAGATAACCATTTGCTATTAACTCTTGACAAAAAGAAACTATTTTCCAATAAGATTGAAAATACATTTTTAATTTTCTTTAGCATTTTACAGAGCACATTTAAGCGATAGCAAAAATAAAGGCTGCTTGCATTTTCAATATTAGTCTTTTCCGGAGGCATTTTTTCCTCCTTTCTCCAAGGCCTCCAACACCATCATCTTTTTAGAGCTTCATTGTGCTGGGGCAGAGTGTGTTTTCCAGGCCCTGGAAGGACAGCTCATGTGTAGGTACTTGACCGGCCTCCCACCTTCTGGATCACACACCCCTCACAGAACTCAGACACGGCCTCCATAAGGCAGGACTCCCTGCTAGGCCTGAACAGTGTCCCTCCTCACAGAAGGGGCGAGGCCTTCTTACCCAGGAGAGAGGCCTAGGTTGGGGCTTAAAAAGGAAAAAAGATTCTCTCTTCATGGGTCTAAAGAAACTGGAAGTACTTTTTCCATCCTGTGGGCACAGGCGAGCATCTCGGATGCCCGAACCTCCAGAAGTGAGATGCTCCAGGCCATGTGACTTTAGGGGTGGCCATCTTTTCAGAGGACAGGCCTGTTCTTTTAGATCCTCATAAACTCACCCCTGGGAACAATAGCATACGGGAAGCATTGTAATTCAGTTCCGATCCACAACATGTCAGTAAACAAAATGCACTCAAAAGAACAACCTTTTGAGTGCAAAAGTACAATCTTTTGAGTGATTTTGTTAACCGTTTTGGAAAAATAAAATGATCAGTTCTTTCCACAGCCTTATCATCAACTGGTTCACTCACAAACAACTGAAATGCCTTGAAGTGTTTCTTTTTCTGACCTGGCTATGCATCAGCATTCAAACCCACCTCCATTAATCTAAATTCCTTGTATATTTCTTGCAAAATTTGCAGTGTCATATGAAATGGTCCAGAGGGCAGGGATGAAAGATGGAAAGTAAACTTGCTCCCTCAATGGAGACAGAACTCCTTCTTTGCAGAGTCCAATGTTTGGGCGATGCTTCATAGGGACCCTGTCCTAAGGACCTGATCATCACTTACAGGGCAGACTTAGGGAGCCACCTGCTTCTACCAGGGTGATCTGGGTGATAATGGGCTAAGAACTGCCCAAGGCTACATGGGGGTGACCTGACTCTTTGTCCCAGCAGAGACTCACTCAGGGGCAGCCTGCGGGGTCCAAACACCAGGCATCAGGAACTACCAGTGCCTCCACCTTCCCTCTGACTTCTCAGTCGTTTTCATCTGAGAACCATTCCATCTTGAAAGAGTCCTCTTTCATTCTTAATAATCTGGGGTTTCACGTCTGAGGACTTGTATTTTTTCACTTCCCTCAATATAATGTTGGATTCAAGCAAATACTTATGCTCCTGCTTAACCTACGGTAAATCTAAACTCACTTCATTTCCTTTAAAATTTACTGGAATATGAAGTAAGCACAGAGAACACAGAGGGCAAAGATTTTAGATGACGTTTAATAGCCTGATATTCAAAAGTCTTATATATTTTTTTTCAGAATCCAGACTCAACTGGTGCTTGAAATGTAGAACTAGCTCCAGGTTATGGGTATCATTTAATCAGCGACCTTCACAGTCTGACTTAAAGACTGACACAACCCTCGCTCCTTGTTTTATGGGACCAGTTCATCACATGTTCATAAAAACCTCAGCTAGTTTTTCATTTGTGAGCTCACCAGATTGATTCCAAGCTTCTGTCCAGATTTGTTCACTATCGGTAGGCCAACAGTGATTTTCTATAAAACAAACTTCTGTCTTTGTTCAGAGGAAATGAAGGCTAACTACTTCTAAATGAAGGATTTTAATATCACCTAGTTGCTATAGTATACTTCTACCTCTAAACACAGCGCAAAGCTCTGTAACATAAAACAAAATGAAAGGCAGCTTGTTAAGGTTAGAGGAATAATCTTCAGCTTTCAATAGAAAATAGAGTTCATTTACTCATAGAACAAAAGCAAGAACTCTACTTAAAATTTGATATGATTAGGTAATTGCTGTATAAATATAGTTTAAAAAATAGTATACCTCAAACAACAAGAATGCTGCTATGATTTTAGGGTATATGGTCTTCATTTTTAAAACTACTATTTCCACTGGACCAGTGGATATATATGAGTTTGCAATATCTATCAGTCACCCCATCTAAATCATAAAATTTCCCCTGTCTCTCTTGCAAATCTCAAAACATCACAGCAGGAATATAATCAAACCTAACAGTCATATTTGCAATATGCAATTTAACTGTAATGACACACATAAGCATTTCTTTGTCACAAAATAGTTTCCCTGAGACATTTATATCTTGCCATCAATATGAAAAAGAGCATTCCAGGGGAAGCACACTGTTAGCACCATATTTCATTTGAAAAAAAAAAATCATCTATCAAAAACTAGAACATTTCCATCAAAGGATACAATCAGAAAGATATTATAAAGGTTTATATAAAACACACACATTATGATCACATTTAGTCATAGAACATGAGGAATTTAGCCTAGATGGGATTTCCTCCATAAAAGCCAAGGTCGATACAGGCAAACTCTGAGTCTCCCTTGCTTAGGAACCCAGAGTTCCATCTCCAGGCTGCTGAAGAACTTTCCTACCCTGTTTCCTTTTACTTTACCTCTCTAGTTGATTTCTGTGCTCATGAATATACAAAAGGTAAACAATAAAAGTAGCTTAAAAAGTTTTTCCTGCCTTCAGATAGAAGTTGAAGCCTCCCCCAGCCTCAACAAGAGAAATAGCAACAAATGTATTTTGCAATTCAGTCAATTAAAAAGAGGGATGTGCGTACTATGCATATTAATACTGATAGAATGGATCAAATAATGTTATTGCTATCATATTCTTGCATGCTAATTTATGATTAATTGATAATATTGCTGGAATTGCACATAATCAACCAGTCATGTATTTGTTTTTGAACAAAATGCATAGTATTTAATGAGTCATAGACGGCAATTGTAAAAAGACGTTAACGCCTAACCATGGCCATCAGCGTACGTGTAAACTGCTTAACAGTGTTTCTTACTTCAGAATGCCAAAATAGATCGTGCATACCGCCCCGGCCACATTAACGCCAGCAGCATTTCTCTGGGAGGTTTCTGAAATTCATCCGGGAGCCCTGTATCTACTGTCCATGTTACTATTCCCCCAAAGAACTCCAATTAAATATCACACGTTTGGAAGAAGACAGGGTTAGCAATCAGGAAGCACACACGTCCGCTGCAGGTACTTGAGAACGGAACATCTCGCTTTTCAAAAAGCAAAAACTGCTGGCACAGCAGTTGGAGCGCTGCACTGCGAAGCTAAGCCAAGCTGTGGCCACTTCAGTGGGAGTTCAGTCCCTGCCCCGTAGGTGACCCACATGGTGCAGCAGACCTCTCCTGTCTCACTCGCTGCTCCCCTCAAGCGTACTTTGTCCATCTGCCTGTTCTGCTCCCCACTTTGTTTCTGGTGAATCCTCTTGCCACCCCTGCTCCTCTGGCTATACCCCATTTCTGTATTCATAAATAAATCAATCTTTAGAACATATTAAGTTTCAGGTAGACATATTCAATAGAGTTGGTGGGTCAAAACATAATTCACTGAAGTATTTATGTATCAAAAGTGATCTTAAGAGACTGATTTACATTCTGTCACATGCATGTCCTGTGACTGAGAAGTAGATGAGTTCACAAGGATCTGTGAACAACAAGTAATTTATAATTATACTGAAAAAAAAGGGGGAAGAAAAAGAGACAACCTTCAAATGCAATCAAAAAAAGATTATGAGGTCAATAAAGTGCAAGTAACAACTTCTTTGCACTAAAAGGCAGTTTGAAGAGTTCAAATAAAACAACCAATCCAGTTTTATTATGAAGGGAGTGTTCTCTGAACACCTGACAGTGAGGACTTTTGAAATGTTAACTTCACAGTTGGGATGTGACTCCATGAACAAAATGGCACCTGGCTGGTGCCTGACTCCCCTGAGGGTGAACATTCCACTGGAAGTTTAAAGGAGATTTCAAGTAGAACACATTCATTATTTTGGCAACAGAATGCATCTACCAGCACAGAGGCAAAAGGTGCTATTGAAAAGACATCCCTTTTGCTAATCCTTCCTGACTTCTAGAATAATATTGACATTTGTTTGGTCCTCAGGAGTTCGCTTTCTGGTCAATAAAATCAACTGTCTGCATTTGAAAACCCCTTCAAACATACCAAGGTGTTCTCTCTGAATATTATTCTTTTCTAAACTTTATTTACTATATGTTGCCATTTGAGAAAGAACTTGATTGTTCAAACTTCCACCCATGGCTTTATCTCAATTAAAGTGTGCACCGGCTGGGCCTATACCTTCCACACAATGAGGAAAGGTGCTCATTCCACAGATGAAAGGATATAAACATAAGAGTGCAGATTCAAACTCATCTGGGAATGGGAAGAGAATTTTACCTGGGTAAATCAACAAAATTACAACCATTTTGATTTCATATGTAAACGTCACAAATGGATGGGATTGGTTTGAAAGCTGAAACTAAATTTTTCATTACTGTGTTTGCATCCATTTTTTAAAACTTACAGTCCAGTTGTCAGCATTAATTTGGCTTAAAAACAAAGATTCATTGGCAATCTTCAAAGACTCAAAGGTATTAGATCAAGGGAATTTGAATATTATTTAAATATTAAACATACTAGTTGCAAAAATTGTATGGACTCACAATGGGAGACTTTTCCATACCATTCAAAAGGTTATTGTGTTTCACCCACTGTAAATACATTGATCTAAATTCTATTCAATCGTGCTAAAAATGTATTAATGTAAATAAGGATAATAGGACTCAGTGAGACATAAATAAAAAGCATACTTCCAGCTTGCAGGTGCTAATTATATAGAACTGGATGTTCTTTAAGTTAGAAGTGTAGTCTAATTTGGCATTTAGGGTATTTCCTGATATCACCCCAGTAATAAGAAGTCAGTTAAACAGATTTTAGCCCTTTAAAAATCTAGAAAATTTTCATCATAAATTCTCCATTCATAAGAATGGGACACTGGCTTCTGATTTTTCTTTTTAAGGGACATCTCAATGAATAAAGACGAAAATCATATTTTATTATGTGGCTTATTTTCATTTCCAATTCCCAAACAATAAAAATTTTGAAACAATAGAGGTCATTTTAGTAAGGAGGGATTTAGATTAAGGAATATTGCATCTCTTGCATAGATTCTATAAACTCTTCAAGGTGCTCTAAAAACACTATTAAGTTTGATTAGCAGCAAAGCATTAGCCTAATCAAAACCTCATTGGTCCCTCATATATTTATGTACATATATATATGTATATATATATATATATACACACACACACACTTTACATCAATATTCCATATCAGTCTAACTTAAATGTGACCAGACCATTTGACAGCTATTCCCAGAGTTTGTGCAAGGTTACAAATACTGTCTACCCTGGATCATGGTTCAAGACCACTAGCACCCAAGTGGTTAAGGTGGGACCAATCCTTTCATTAAAACAAACCAAAAAATTTCAACCACATATTTTGAATTACTTTTTAAATGAAAAAAAAAAAAAAGAAAAGAAAAGAAAAACTTGGGGGATACAGTGAATTACCCCATATATTATTATTATGGATCCTAAACTTTTTTATCTACAACTATTTACATGGAAGGCTGAATGCCTTTAAACATCGTTTCTACAGACTAAATATAACATATTCCTTTGAAAAAGGACAAAGTGTTTGCTTTTTTTAAGTTGGAGGACAGGTCTGTGAAGTGGGTTTTCTTCCCCAGATGAATTCTGCAGCATTCTCTCCCGGGAGCGCACGGAGACCCCCATCATCCTATACTTAATGCTCTAGAGTGGAGCTGCTAAGCAATGCGGCTGTCAAGTAGCCAGACCCAGCTCTCCAGAGAGGTCCTGTGGGTACAGTGGCATCGTGGTCTTTTCTCTTCCACACTCTTCTAGCAGCACCCCATCCTTGGGCATCGCTGGCTGAAGTCCAGACTTGAACTTCACTGGGAAAACCAGGTCCATTCACAATGCAGCATTTTCATCTCTTGGTCGGGTGAGTCTTGGCTCCCCATGGATACGAGTGGTACCTAGAAGATTCAGAAGTGGAAAGAGTTCTCTATGGTCACAGACATTTTAGTTCACACATTCAATTTCAAAAGCAGTGACTGAGGCAAATAAGTAAATAAATCACAGTGAATTAAACGTAGGATGGGGACATTTCCAGAAAGCTGCCTTTGGCTGAAATTAAAAGCTAACAGGGTCTGTCTCAAATCATTAACTCAATAGGGTCTCATAAGCCTTTATGATTGCAAAATAAACATGCATTAAAAGTATTTTACGAGCTATATGAACACACAGAAAATAATACAAAATTTTAGCTAAAAAAAAAGTATTTTTTTACATATTTAAATCCCTGTGTACATTAAAGTATCTACTTTACCTTTCATGGGGGAAGAGGAAGAATTATAAGTGACTCAAAGTATATTTCTTTTTATCCTGTACATTGATACCTTTCAATATATTCCATTGTTAAAAAATAAAATATTGTGTACCTATAAGCGCATATGACAATATGTCACCTATCACTTATACAGAACTCAAACTGTTTTACTCTCACAAAGAATAACAAGGCATACTTAGGGATCTATCCCTCTGACAACAAGCTAAATGTTGGCATGTCAAATATAATAAACCATACAAATGATCAAAAACAGAGCCTGCATTGAGCTGGTCGATTTTGTTTGACCTTGGTTTATTTTCTTTACACAGTTTTCTTTCTCTCAACTCAGTCCCACCATCCCTTCCAAGAAGACCAGCAACAAGGAAACCCATATATTGGTTGGGGGCCCTGCCTGCTGCTTCTGTTCCTGGAACAATTTTCTTTTCTTAATGCAACATTTTGTGTCTGGGACAATCTTCCTAGCCAACTGCCCAGGCAATCTCTCCATTATTTAAGCAGTTCCATAAATCTTCCCCAGCTACGGGTAATCGCTAGATAATGACTTTATTCTAAGACTTTCAGTTTAAAAATGGCATCTACCTAAATATAAACTAAATTCAATGACCTAAGCTTAGTGCTCTGGTTGCTGTCTGGGTGTTTTGTGTAAGTTTGAACTGATAGTCTCAGGTTGTGAACTTGAATAATATGTCGATTCTCTCTGGTGCTTTAGCAATATCATTTCTTAACAGTTAGGATAATGATGATGAATGAGCTGATCTGGATAGATATTGGTGGAGGAATTAAATTGTTTCATATTTCTAATTATGTTACTAGGCCAGCTTTTCTCAACTTGTGTTCCACATTAAAATTGAATTAATACTGGGGTAAACAAAGTCAATAGATATCTTTCTTACAGTACATCTTAATATATACTGACATTTTCCCCAAAAATGGGTAATTACAGCTCTGAGTTTCCCAAAATATTTGCCGGAAAACTTTTTTTTTCAGGGAGCATATTTTAATTTAGTCTTTGATAGTATTTACTCTGAGAGACCCCTATGTGGGCAAGTTCCCCTATTCAACCTAAGTACCTCTACATGTCCTGTGTATTTAGCTTCCTCTATCACTTGACTATGGAAAAATCATGGCTGGCACAGCTGACCTGATTCATACTTGTGGAGAGCTATGGATTTCCAGCTTATGAACTATTAGTGCTTCTAAAGAGATCCTGGCTTATTTCTTGGGAATTGATTTGGAAAAGAATGGCTTCAAGCACAACTAAGTTTTTTTTTTTTAATTAGTGAGCTGTGAAGAGTCTTTTTCCCAAGATATTTTCTATCATTGCTATTAGAAATTAATAAGGGAGTATTCTGACTACACAGATACTTTGTAATAGGTGGGTTATGTTAATTTGAAGCATGTTAAGATGTCATGTGTTACCCATCACATGTAGCTGGAACTTGATTGCTTAAATCATATCTTCATATTCTATTTTTAATTCCAAATATAATTGTAAACAGGTTTTTGCCTTTCTTAATAGGTGTCTCATTTTCTGTTTATCATAAGATTTGCAATGTCTTTTGATTTGACTTTGGAAATAGAAGTCATGTTTGGTTTTTTTAAATTCTGATTATAGAAGAATGGGAAAAGAAAAACATAAATTTTAAAATAAGACCAAAATTATTACTTAAAAAAAAAGACAAATGAAAGCTTCCCTGAGTTCCTGTTTTTTGCATTGCTTTTAGTTGATTTTCTGCAAAAATGTGAGACATTCATTGTCCATGTTCTGTAGTATGAGAAAATGAAGATCAAAAAAAAGGATGTAACAGTCTGGACAGAAACATTCATATCATCCACAAAGGCTGAACATGTTCAGCTTGCGGGGAGAAAATGAACATTCAAAATCTCTCCCGAGGTGGTGGGAGGAGAGTGACTATGGAGATGGTGATTTCTATTAACAGTATACCTTTGTATACTTTGGGAGATGAAAATTACTCATCATTTCTCTGCAGTTACAAATCACAACAGAACTAAATTTACAAAGGTAGTATTTTGGAAATATATTATCAAGCCAAAAGAGCAAACAGCTGAATAATCCTACATGTGATTCATAAGAACAACTCTTTGGCAAAGGAAAAGGGGAAAAAAAAAAAAAGATGTGGAGACTGAACTAACTTTATAAAAGCATCTAATTTCCATAGCATGACCTTACTTAACCAGGATAATGTTGAGACATTTTCTTAGCATGGCTAGTAGGTATGTTGGGAAGAACATACCTTCTAGTAGTCGCAAGATAGTCTTCCTACCGGAATGGGAGGTCTCTCCATGAGGCACGGATGGAGAATTCCAGAGGACCATGCTTCCCAAAGCAACTCTGAGCCACACCGAAGGTGCAAGGGGTTACTCACAATCCACTGATAATTGGCAGAGTTGATAGAGCTCACGTAATGCACACTGCTGGTGGCCATGTTCCCTCACCCAGACACACCACTTCAAAGCATTCGGCCTGACTCCCAACCGCACCTCTTTTCGGAACGAGCCTCCCCTGGGTGGAATCCTCACACAGTGACTGATGGGAACTGGAGCACCTGTACTCCTGCAACTTGGGATAACCAAGGCACTTGATCTTCCCTGGCTCTCACATGCCCTCACCGGGATCAGGCTCCAGCCACCCACAATGCTACATTTTTAGAAAATGAAACTTTTGTTGAATTATTTCTTCCCTGTCCCCTACCTGTGCTTCCTGGAACCACCTCTCAAATCAACTAATGGTACTCAAATCTCTGTGCCCAATGATCAAACTGTGGGAATCCAGAGCTGGATGAAATTGACAAAAGAGAGTGTGGTTTTTAGAGCATCAAAAACACACAGGAGCTATATTAGAAGGTCACATACTTCCATAATAAACTAGGGTTTCTTATTTAGGGGGAGCAAATGGCAGCCCATAATTGAATCCCTTTCCTACCGACATACCTAAAGTCACCAGAAGTGATTCTTTGTTCAGTTGCTGTTCTCTCTTTCCCTCTGTCCCCTGGTGACCCAACACACACACACACACACACACACACACTTGTATTTATGCAAATAATGGGCAGATTTCAATGATGCAAATCAGAGTTAACAGTTTTTCTAGAATGGGACAAATGCTTAGCTGAAAAAAATCTAGAAATACCCTTCTATTTCATTATATTAATTATTTTTATAGTAGTAAATTACTAATTAAGCTATCACCCCATCAACAGAGAGTAAGGTGCAGTCAAGAAATGACACACAACACCCCACCCATGGTTGTATCTAGCCCAAGCCAAAATATTTCAGAAAAGCGTTCCTGGACTCTTCCTGGTGGTGCAACCAGTTAAATCAGCACTATGAAGCTATTGTAGCCACTGCAGCATGAGTTCAATTCCTGGCCAGGGAGCTGACCCACATGGTGTGGCAGACCTCTCCTGACCCGCCAGCTTCCCCCTCAGCAGTGTATTTCAGTACATCTGTCTGTTCTGATTCCCACTCTGTCTCACCCCCATACCTCTGGCCTCTACCCCAGTTCTGTATACATAAATAAAATAAATCTTTTTTAAAAAAGAAAAGTGTTTCAATAAAAATGGTGCGGGGAGAACAAAACCTCTGGGCTCAAGGATAGAGAAATCGGATCTGATTATCAGATGACATCCAATGATCTTAAGTAATCTTTCACACTTGAGAAAAAACTCTAGCTCTCACCTGTTCGAAATAAAGTTGTAATAACCACTTTCCTCTAGGACTTCTTCAATCACAGTCTAGAATTTGGGAGGAAAAAAAACCAACAGGTTAGTACTGAATTAAAAGTGACAAAATAAAAATTTTCAGACACTGTGAAAACCTCACCTGCATCTGTTCATATGTGATTCCCTCCTCCAAATCAAAACTGGTGGGTAAGCCTAAAATAGATTAATTATGAAAAGGTTGACATTTGGCTCACATATTCCTAGTTAGGTTTTATTGTCAATTATGATTCAACTGCAGTGAAAACAGGTCAGTTTTTCAATGACGAAGATGGGTACTTATGAGCAGGTCCAAATTATCTTGGGTTTGAATATGCAAACTCTTTTTTCTTTCTTTAATAACTGGTTACTTTGGGGGTAGCAAGCAGTGTCACTGCAGAGTTTAGGAGCTCTGTTTATGGCCAATTAAGTGTGGGGGGGAGGGGGTTGGTAAATACCAGCGAAGAGTGGTTGGAACAAATAGTGAGTTTTGTGATGAAGAAACACTCCCTAATTCACAAGGCAATAGGACTATCCCTGAGTGCCAAAAATAAATTAAATTCTTAGAGGGAGGTAGAGAGAGACCTTGAAAGACAACACAGATGTGGTCCTTTGCTATGGCCGCCCGGCGGGAAATGCACTTAATGATGCACTTCTTTTGATGTTTGGCCTGAGTAAGATCTGCCAGTGCCTTCGCCTGCCTGTGTGCCACTGAAGCAACACTGACTGGCTTCCACTCAAATCGGAGCTGCTACTACAGATGTCCAGCCTGCGACTGTCCTACCTGCCTTGGGGGAAAGCTTTTATAGGCACAAGACTTTAGGCAACAATGTCCTTTGATTTTAAGGATGTCTCAGGGACTCTGTGAAATGAAATTCTCCCTACACAGGTTAGCTTTATTCCAGGAGTCCTAAATGTATGCAAAGTTGGAGAAGTTGCATACGAAAGGATTTTCCTGAATTAGGAAATGACAGCACAACAAAAATGAGTGCTTTTCTAGAAAGAGGAGATGGCGAAAGTGTTCCCCAAAGCTTCTCCCCACTGTTGTTTACAGGGGTTTGTTAAAATATTGGAATGTTGCTTGTGGTTAAAAACTAACAGGATGTTGTCGAAGGCCCTGGATGTTATCAGAAGCCCAGGCACCAGCAGGTCATTACCTGCAGTTACCACCTGCACGAAGGAGGATCCGCAAGTGACTCATCCTAATGGACTACACACTTTGGAGATTTCCCAGCCCACGAATTTCACTATATAAGACCCTGTGTTCAGAGGCGCAGGGTCCATCCCGTCTGGGCGAGACCACCGTCGGTACACTCCGGGGATTGGACCCTAGCCCGGGGATTGGACCTTGTACTTGTCTTTTGCATAGGTTCTGTGTCTTGGCATTTCTTGGACTCTAACAGGTTCAGAGGTGACTTAGGAATTCTGACACCTCAGAGTTTCAGGAAATCTGAAAACCTCTTAAAGTCCAGATAGGACAAGAGGAGTTACATCACAGGGAGCCCCGAAGAGTGACCAAGCTCCTTTTCCATTTGTACACCGAGCCTCACTGGAACCATATGGCATAGGGACCCTATTTTAAGGGCAAGGAAACTGGGGCTCACAGAAGTCAAATAATTTGTCAAAGGCAAGTTACTAAAGGGTTGAGCTGAGATTTGACTCTGACTATCCAGGTTCCAGATTCTTCCCTAATCCTTTATTGTCTTTATTGTCTTCCAGGGGAGATGTACCAAAAAAAAAAAAGGAAAGAAAAAGTGAAATGAAGTGGTTCTTCAGACAACTTTGAATTTTCTCTATGTTAAATATGCATACTTTTATTTCAGCTTTTTATCTTCCTGGATGCTTTGGGGCATTTAATTTCCCATCAGTTAGATAAGATGGAATAAAGGACAATATAATTCACCCACACAGATTCTGCTGTTTGTTTATAATAAATGATCGAGAACACTGCCACTACTGGTAAAATAAATCTTGGGAAATTTCTAGATTCCTATCATATATTGCTTCCCACAATTGCCACAGATACTCAAAATTATCTCTATATTTCTTCTTAATGAAAGATAATTGTTTAAGGATTGCTATTGATCCAAGTGGTCTAATTTCTTGGTGGAAGATAGATTTCCTGCTCTGGTGAGAGTTACCTGCTGGGTCACTTGGGGACAAGCTGTTTCCATCTGCTGAGTGACGTAGTGAATGGTAATCTGCTGTGAAAAAGTTGGGCTCGATCGGTTCCGGAGATCCTTGAGACAGCTGGAAGAAAAAGGAAGACTGTGTCTTAGTTTAAACCCAGAAGCAAATAACAGGAGACCTCTGTGTGGGATCTTCCATTTCTCTCTGTCTCTGGACAGAAAATTTAGTGCTCAGTGGTTTTCAACCCTTTGTAAATAGATAAAGGCTTATCTTCTTTCTTCCTAAAGAACTTATAAATTGGAGGCAGGCAAATTACAGTGAAAGCAATTCCCTGACCACATAAAAAAATAAATAAATAAAAGTACACTTTATAGCTTTATGAGAACAAAATAAAAATGGATAGAAAAATAATGGATGGTCTTAGAACATCAAAATGTTATTTTTATCAGGCGTAGGAGGAATAAACTCCAATTACTCAACAGAACAATATGTTTAGCCCAAATCAAAATCCTTTCTCATGTATCTCCTTTGAACAATGACTTCTTCTTTGACCAAAGCAAACAAGTTTCTTAATACATTTTGCTCAATCACTATTAATTAATATTAATCCCCAAACTTCTATTTGAATGCTCTACAGAAGAGTAATTTACCAATTGACAGAGTTTGTTAAAGCTACAATTGTTTAATCCTCTGCTATAAAACTGAATATTTTAAATGGAATTTGAGGCTCCACACACTTTTAACTTCCTTTCACCTGTAATTCCCAGCCAGTGTTTGGCCTGGCCAAGTTTCAGGGTCTGTATTAACTAACATACCTTTAATAAATCGGTTCCTATGAATAAACCTATGAATTAAAATACGTTGCTCAATCACTTGAGAAAACTAGAAATTAATAAATTAATACAAATTAAACAAAATATTCTTACCCTATGACCCAGCAATCCCACTAGTAGGTATATGCATGAAAAAAATAACTACTTCTGTCCATAAAAGGCATGCACCAGAATGTCCATAACACCTTATCTCATCAAGGTGCATGGACAGAGGCTGGAGAAGTGGATGGCAATATGTTCATCCAGGGGAACTAAAGTGTTATGATCTTAAAATTCCATTCTAATGTGCAGCCAAGGTAGAGAATTCTGGGCATGGCCATGGGGTTAAGTAGCTAAATGCTTCCTACCTAGGTCCAGAGTCTTTTGTCTTCTTAATCCTACTCCAAATAGCATTTGTAACTTCTAATTCAATGATTCTCAGTCCTGACAATATATAAGATAATTAGTATTGTGCCTTTGTATACTATTTAGAAAAAGTCGCCCCCTACTTCCAGAGGAAGAGGCAGCCCAATATTGCCTTCACAGAGGTACCTTTGGACAGAACATAACCTGTTCAAGTCTAAGTGACAGGTCTGCCAGGAGAGTAGTTTTCAAAATGCCAACACCTAAGCTGTGATTCGGGAGGCTCCTGGCATCAGTGCTTTTCTCATGCGTAATTTCAGTGTTGAGAGTATAGTGTAGTGAATTTCATGAGCCATCACTCAGTTTAAACATAGCTGATCTTGCTTTAATCCTAACTCATCCACTTTCTTCTCTACCTCATCTTACTCCCAAAATTGAAAAGCAAATCCTGGGCATTAAATCATGTTGTACATAATATTTTAGCATAGCTCTTTAAAATATATGCGTTTCAGGCCCTCCATGGTGGTGTGGCGGGTTAAAGCACTGCACTAAGAAGCTAAAGCCACTTCCGCATGAGTTCGATTCCTGCCTGCCCCAGAAGAGATCCACATGGTGAGGCAGACCTCTCCTGACCCTCCCGCTGCTCCCCTCAGCAGTGTACTTCGATGATCTGCCTGATCTATTCCCCACTCTGTCTCTGGTGAATCCTCTCACTGCCCCTGCACCTCTGGCCTGTACCCCAGTTCTGTATATACAAATAAATAAATCTTTAAAAAAAAAAAAGAGTTTCTATTTTAAGCAAATTGAATTTATCACTATCACACCCAAAATGATTTATACCTGCATAAAAGCAAATACAAGGTCAATTTTTTTCTCATTTTTTTCTAACATTTAATTTAGATTTTTTTTAAAGATTTATTTATCTATTCATATGGAACTTGGGTACAGGCCAGAGATGTGGAGGGTGAGAGGATTCACCCAGAGACAGAGTGGAGAACAGAACAGGCAGATGGACGAAGTACACTGCTGAGGG